CTTCATAATCGAATTCTTTTAGCCATTCTGTAATTTTATTTTTCACTTCAAAGTTATTTAGTGATCTTATGTTATGTTTACTATTAAGTTTGTTGTATAGCCTAGGTGCCAAAAAGTCAAAATGTCTTCTAAAAACTGCACTATTTGGTCTCGGAACAGGACATCGTTCAATTCTCTTATTGCTAAGTTTTAATTTAGGCACAGTGACACGATGATATCTCCTTAGACTTTGCAGAATAAATGTTTTTCGAACAGATAGCACTTTCGCCCTGTCATATACGGACACTGTTGAGTGGCGAAATGGTAGACGAAATATTACTTTTAAGACAGCTCTTTGTGCGCGTTCAACCTTAATTAAATAACTTTTAGCGGCACCTCCCCAAGAACAAATGCAGTAATTAAAGACACACTCTCCCAATGTTTTATATGTTTTAATAAGTAGTTTGTAATCGGTCACTGTCCGTAAACTTTTAAATATATAAATTAGTTTTCTTAGTTTATTAGCCACTGCATCAGTATGGGCCTCCCAAGTTAATTTGTTGTCAATGATTACACCAAGATATCTGATCTGATCTGTTTTAGCTAAATTACTACAATGACATGGTGTAAAGTTAATAGTGCGATTGCAAGGATATCTGTGGATAGTAATTTTAAAGTTTCTAGTTGGAAGAGAAGCATTAGTCTTACCGAAACATAGGTATTTGGTCTTTGAAACATTAAGAGATAGTAAATTATCTTCAAGCCAACTTGTCACTAACCTAAGACCATTTTCTGCGAGTTGTGCTACTTTATCCCAAGTGTCTCCATGAAAAATCAATACAGTATCGTCAGCAAACATGGTTAAATCCGCATTTTTGATATTGATTTTACACAATTCGTTAACATAAATAAGGAAGAGCGAAGGACCTAAGGTACTTCCCTGTGGCACACCGTAAGAGCAAGAGGAACTGCTGCTTGTGTAATTGTCGATTCTGACACGTTGGCGTCTATTCGAAAGATAGTCTCTAAACCAGTTGTAGACAACACCTCTTATACCCAAGTTTTCCAAACGGTTGAGCAGTATGGGAATCGACACTGTATCAAAGGCTTTTTGAAGGTCCAAGAAAACCCCAACACATTTTTTGCCACAGTCGAGGTATCTAGATATAAGAGATGTTAATCTTAATACAGCATCTTCTGTTGACCTCCAAAAAAAAAGTGAAAAGGAGTGTTTGGGTCCATGATATTAATGTAAAAAGACTCGAGTATGGTGAATTTTATACATTGTATCCAGACTTACAAAAAGATGATAAACGTTACAAAATGTACTTAAGAATTAATGAAAACCAATTTAATTTTCTGCTTAGTCTGACTGAAAATGATGTTTAATTCAGCAGCAATTTGCTCCCACACTTCCTGTTTTAAAGTAGCATTTATGTGGCCACGAACACATTCAATTAAATTTTCTTCGTCTGACATGTCGCGAGCGCGGTCGATTCGTTTGTGACGCTCGAAACGTCCGCGGACGCGTCCCGTGGCCTGTGCACATCGTCCGAGGACGCACAAATATCCAGCCGGCTAGATTCTGTTCGGACGTCTGAACGTTCAAGGACGACCCAAGGGCACGTCCGCGTCTTACGACCGATAGTTTGCACAGTGTAGTATTAAATGTACTGGCTAGATTCAAATAAGCCGCGTCTATCAGCCGCGGCTGACGGACGCGTCCGATAATTTGTTCTCAGCTTTAAAATTCACTTTCACAGACGACAAATTTCACATAGCACCATCTATAATTTTTTACTGTATTAATAACAGCTATCTTTTGCGCTGTACGCGTTTAAACCGAACCGACCGAAAGATGTCGTTTGGTGCCTAGACAGGTGAGTGAACAATGGTTGTTGGGGACTGTAGTCACCGTTGACGGTTGAGTGGCTTATTAATAAATAAATTAAAACAGTATCTAAAGACATTGTACTTCGTTTTTCACGTTTCGTTTTTGCTATATCGTGAGATTCATTCAATACTTTTATTTTGCATAAACTTAAATAAATAGAGCTGTATCACGTTATAAAGTTGTTTTCTGCACCCTGATTGAATATAACTGCATAATTGTTAAAAACGCATAAAATGCAAAAGTTAATAAAACCAAATTTGTTAATTGTCGAGAAAGAGTGTATAATAACGAGGTTTAATAAGCGGGACTTCATTAGCAAAAGTAAATAATATATGAAAGGGCGCTAAGCTACTTTGCCAACATCAAGACGACATTTAATTACACCCCTACCGCGGCCTACGAATTTGGAGTATATATAAAAATATCTGACAGGCGTATTTTAAAAATAAAAGTCTCAATAGTATTAATTATTTAAACTGCACCTATATAGTCTATAAAAAACATGTGTGCAGGTCACACGTGGTAGAAGTGAAACCTTCAAAAACTAAACTACGAAAGAATGCGATGAATGCAGAATATCAGGAGTAGGATAATTATTGTAAGGTTTATTTATTACAATATTGTTACCAAGATTAAAATTATTTTAAATTTTATTTTACATAATATACTACATTAAATATTAAACAGAGTCCAAGTTTTCGGTGTAGGGCGAGTGCATTCGACACTTAACAAATTTGGTTTTATTAACGTTTTGTGCTTATCATTGCATTTTATGCATTTTTTTTTACGATGATGCAATTATATTCAAGCAAGGTGCAGTTTTTTTAATATTGCAAAAATTAGCGAACGCAAGTAATATGAAAATGATGATTTTTGAAAGAGAAGAAAGTAAAACGTTATGTGAAATAAGAATAGAAGGGAAGTTGATTGAGCAAGTGGAGGAGTTTGTATATTTGGGATGATTATTAAGCAGGGATGGTAGATATGATAAGGATAAGAACGACGAGTGAACGCAGGAAATAGAGTGAATGGGGCTCTACACGCTGTTATGAGGAGTCAGAATGTGTCAAATAAGGCACGTATGGCAATTCATTACGCTGTGTTAGTCCCTACTTTAATATATGGTAGTGAAAGTTGGGTCTGGCAGAGGAAGCATGAGAGTAGAATAAATGCTGTAAAAATGCGATCACTAAGGAGTATGCTAGGGCTGAATCAGCTGTGATAAGAGAAAAGTGTGGTTTGTAAGATGACGTTGTGACCAGGATTAAGAAAGGTTTTTTGGTCATGTAGAAAGAATGAACGAGGAAAGAGTGAGAAAGCAAATTTATGTTGCAGAAGTGAACGGCAGGGTCAGGAAGGGACGCCCTAGACGAAGGTTTATCGACGAAATCGGCGATACATTGAAAATGGGCCAAATTAGACATACCCTTAACCGACGAGCGTGTATGCGTAGATATATGGATGTAAAGGAGGCGAGAAAGGTGTGTCAGGATCGCGCCAAATGGAAGTCCGTAACAGTTACTACACACTTTGGTACCTAGTCTCTGCCTACCTCACTGGGTGACAGCCGTGAGTGTTTGTGTGTGTGTGTGTGTGTGTGTGTGTGTGTGTGTGTGTGTGTGCGTGTGTGTGTGTGTGTGTGTGTGTGTGTGTGTGTGTGTGTGCAGTTTCTTTTAATATTGCAATAAGTACCTAATTCTAATTATTTGAAGTAATATCGAATTATAAGGTGAGCGATATTTAACTATTTTTTATTTATAAACTACATGGGTGCAGTTTAAGTAATTTATATTTTGGTCAGTATTTTTTTATATATATACTCCAAATTATATGCTGGGGAAGGGGGGGGGGGGGGTATTTATTAGATTGCTTCATATTTATTTATCTATGGTGTGTATTCGTAACTGATTAGTGATTACTGAGTAACTGGTGCATCTTGTGTATTAACTTGAAGTACCGAATTGATACACTATTTTTATACAGGTCATTTGTTTTCTTTAATTTAATATTAATTAATTATATTGTTAATCGTTATTAATGGTATAGCAAAGCATGACGCTAGTCCATTTTATTGAAAGTAACGAGTACTTATTTTTATATTAAGGAATACATCACGTGTATACATTTTTTCGTTACATTTACACTTTTACTGGCAACCCTGCTTTCCGCTTTCCATTTTTGTGTCGTAGATTGTAGATTGTAGTTCCCGCGGTTGCCATACACCAATCCGCCATTTCGGCGTCACTATCGCTATGAATGATTGATTAAAACGCCCTCATTGAGGAAATTTAGAAGCTTTTTAGTAAAACTCAGGTTAGATGTTATTTCAATAATTTAATCAATAAAGTGCAAACCAATCGATGGAAATCGTATTTATACTTATTATCGTGCACGTGTTCAATCAAAGTGTAAAATCAGTGACTAGTGAAATCGAAAGATCTTTACTTTTCTTATCATTTTGGCATTGACGACAGCGCCGTCTGTGAACTTTCCTGCTAGTTCTCATTTGGACTGTGGCGGTAATTTGTTGATTAACAAGTGTTTTGTAATAATTTTAGTGCTATAAGTTATAAAGTGTTTGAATAAATTACAGAACAGTAAGGATAACTTAACATTTTTGCACCTATATAAGATGGCGGACGTACCTTCTTTTGGTATCATGTCAATAAAATAGTCCCATTCTTTGCTGTGCTTCATCGACAAAGAGTAAAGTAACAATAAGTCATCTATTTTTAATATTAAGATTTTTCTCTACTATTGTAAATTTTAATAACATTTATTATTTTTCAAAATATTACTATTTCTGTTTTTGTTCTTTTATGTAATTTTGTGGTTAATAAATGTTTCTCTGTTAACTCGGTGTACGAGTCTTGTTGGAGATGCATAAATATTGCCCTGTTAAATTATTAGATATGTTTTAGAATTAAATCGTCATTATTATTATCCTTACACACTAACAAGTCCATAGCTGAACATACATAATACAAAGAGTTTAATGATGTTTTACAATTTAGGTATGATTTACCCAATCCATCAGACTAATCCCAATTAATGATTACAAAAATAAAGTGTATAAATTTGAAAAAAAAATATCTAAAATAATTTGAGTTAAAAAATTGTTTCAGCAATGCCACCACCTGATAGGAAAGTGACTAAGGGTAAGACCCTCCTGCAGTCTTACTTGAATACATTCAATCAACAAAATGAAGAGGCAACTACTGTCTTATCAGGTATTTATGTAATTATGATATTAATTTGCAGTCCTTACAATATTAAATATATTTCACCTAACTTGCTGTCCACTGCTGAACATAGGCCCCCCAAGGAATGCTACAAGAACATATGTGTAATGCATACTAGCATGCAAATGAAAAGCTGATCTTTTTGATGGAAATATTATTTAAAATAATCTTGGAAAAATAGATGTGCTTCCTATTAACATAGCTATATTATGTTGACAAGATTTTTATTGAGTTGTCTTGTTTTCCTATTGTAATCAACACAAATAGCATGAATGTTGAAATTTTGATTTTTCTTTTCATAAATTAATATACTTGATAAGACTGTTGCATGCTTCATAAATAAATTATTGCAATTAATGTGAGAAGAATGGGTGTACAGATGCTACATATTTTAATAATCACTTATTTTCACATCACTCTAACATTAAAAAATATTTTGTAAATAGTAGATTATTGAAAACAAAATTTCTATGGGTAAGTTAATTTCTATTTGTAAATCTGTATTTATCAGTTAAAGTAACATAACATATTCTTTACTTTTCTATTAAAAGCAATAATAATAATAAATAGTTTATGTATATTACAATGTAATGTGATTTTTATTTTCAAAAATGCTTTGATCAATATTTAGCAAATTAAATTTGCTTTGCCATGCAAAATGTGTTTTTGTATTTATTTCAAAAGATTATACTGAATTAGTTGATGTTGCCATGACCTCATTAAACCATAATCCATGGTATTAATAAATATGATTATTTTGATAAGTTCTTTAGAAGGTTTTGTTAGTGAAAGTCATTGTCTAAATATTACATTTACTACAACCATTCATATATCAAAATGCCTCTGGTAATTAGTTTTAGTTGCTGTTGATGACAAGATGCTGTTAACCATCTCTTTTCAGTTCTCTATGTCACCTCTTATAACAACTCTGGAATGATATGGAGTTTCTAGTTAAGTTGCCACTTTATAGGGAATTGCTTATTACTTCATTATTTTTATTTATTATTACTTTTCTATACAATAAATCCAATTTCAACTAACCAGGACAAAATGGTAAAATAAACTAGTCTTTTTTAAATAAACATTGTAATAATCATTAGTGTGAGGAAGAAGACCTCATCATCAATCATTGCGTCCATTAAGATTCCACTGCTGAGATTGAACTTCTTCCATAGTAGTTATTACTATTTCGTTTGGACATCAGCATTCACAGTGTAATATGTGTTGTCAACCAATTAATGATTTCGTCATCTGTAGAATGCACTCTCTATAATCCTGAAATTTTATAAATCAAGCATTTGTCAGTTAGGTGGGCCATGCTTTGGATTTCACCACACATACACGTAGGGTCACCTCAGTATCCCCATTTGTGCATTCAGTCAGCGCAGTCAGCGCATCTGCCCTGTCCAGTTCTTAGTCTGTTTAGCTGAGTCCATTAACTGCACGGTAAGTTAGTCTTTTCGTTGTTTGTTTAGGTAGCTGACTAGGTGATTATTTGGTGCAGCTGCCGATTTCCACAGCAATATTCACTTTTGATCTAGTGTTATGCTCTAAGATTTTAGCCAGTGGGCCGATAACCCGAAGGGTATACGAGGTTTCAGGCACAGGTTGTTCGTGGTATGTGGTAGATCTTCGTTGATTTGTAGTTTCGGCTGCTGTAATATTCACTCATATTCCCTGACAATTTCAGCTTCACTGTAGTTCCGGCGGGGGGGAGGGGGGGGGGGAATATTTGAAAGAGCTGGAAGCCATGACGTATGGGTCGGATTTAGAGTACATATGATGAGATGCATTGCACTGTTAAGTTCCGTGTCAACCTGATTGGTGTGGTTACTTTCATTCCAGACTGGACAGCAGTATTCGGCCATACTGTAGATGAGTACAAGTGCTGAAGTACGCAGAGATTATGTACAATATCCACAGGTAGTTGATGCCAGTTTGGTCAGTAAATTATTTCTCACGTTTACCTTCTTTTTCAGCTTCTAAAGATGTTTTTTGTAGGTAAGTCTGTCCAATGTTACCCCTAGGTAGACAGTGCCGATTATTATTGATATATTTATCGCAAAATTTTATTTTGCTTGTTTGGTATGCTTGCCTGTTGCTAAGATGAAAAGTAATGCACACAGTTATTCGGGATTGGTTTTAGGCCCCAGGTTTTGAATAATCTCTTCAGCTGTGTGACATCTGTCTGCAGTTGTTCTTTGGACTTTTGAAGGGTTGGTCCCTGTGCAGTGAGCGCAATGTCATCAGCGTACATAAATAATCAACCTTTTGTCTTAGGTATATCGCTGAGATAGATGTTAAAAAGCGAAAGCTAGAACAGAGCCCTGCAAAACTCCATTTTTCAGTGATTTAGGCATGCTCGCAATACCATTTAGATAGACCTGGAGGATTTGTTTTGATAGAAATGTGTCAAAAAATTTAAAAAGATTTTTACATCTGAAGATCTTCATCAGTTTCAGTTGCAATGCTCGCTTCCATACTGTGTCAAAGGCTGAGCTGAGATCGACAAACACCGCTGTTGTCTAAGTTTTTGTTGACATCAATTCATCGCATTCTCATTCCCTTCCAGGAATGTATTCCTTTCAGTAGCCACTTGGAATAGCTCTTTTGACAGCTTTGAGTGACAGTTTGGTGCACCTGTGGTAATTTACATCAGCAACAGGAATTTTCCTGAACCCTTGGCCGAGCCTATATAGCCTTATCCAGTTGGCTTCTCGTAGATTCCAGTGTTTTACCGGGAAGTATTATCAGTATTGTAATACCTATATAGTTATTAGGTACAATCTATTTTGGCTTTTTGGGAAGCAGGGTAGTACAACTTTGGTCGATGGAAGTGGTGTGATCCTTCTAGTTGATGAGACGAAACACAGATCTGGATCGGTACCAGTTTTCTACCTGGCCGAAAAGATAGTTTTTGTTTGCTGTCATACAGTAGATGAAGGTTTTGTGCATTTGCCCACATCAGCAGTTCCTCCCCTGCCTGGTTATCCTACGAGTATCCCCACACACTATACTACCGTGAATTAAAGTCATTGATGTACGCTGTTGAGCCATTTGTTGTGGATGAACATTGACTGGCCAATCCATTTTAGGAGGCTTATACACATTGTATACAATGAGATTTCCTACTTTTGTAGCCACGTAGATCGGGTGGTTTGTAGGTAGGTCAGTCGAGATATTTACAATGTTCGTATTTTTTTTATAAAATAAGGGTAACAAAGGAGTACACAGTCCATCTGATGTAAGTGGTTGCTGTAGCCCATAGACATCTACATCTATCCTCAACTACGAATCAAAATGCAGAATGCGTGGTCACCCATGAGGACTAAGAGGATATGCCTCGTTTCCAGTAAATAGGGCGGGTTTCTGGTTCTCTACACTCACCATACGAATCATTTTTACTGGAAATGAGGCATTCCATCCTGGTCCTCATGGGTGGCAACGCATCTACATTTTGATTTGCAAACGAGTATAGATGTAGATATCTATGGGCCGCAGCAACCACTTACCATCAGGTGGACTGTGTGATCGTTTGTCACCCTTATCCTATAAAAAAAAAACACAGCAGCATTGAGATGCTATTTTACGCTGGTATTCTGTGAGAGGGTGGTCCTTCCCCAGTTGAGCCAACCCATTCATGCTACAACCATACTAATAATATAGCTACAGCATGACTCTACCACGTATAAAAATATGTGTGATGCTAGCACGTGCTTCGCATGCAGCTTTAGTGATATTAGCTCAAAACCCGGTATAGTTTTTGTGATCAACATTTTTGCTGACATTCATTTCCTGGAGTAAGAGGACATCCACCTTGTGCTTTTTTGTTAGGTGACTAAGGACTTCTAGCTTTGCTTTCGAAAGGCCTTCCACATTTATTTGTAATACATTCAATCTGACTGATTGTCGTCCGTCACTTTGGTCCTCAGAAGGACCATTTTTTGATTTATTTGAGTTGAGCATTTGATGCTGAGTTGCCGGGAGGCGCCAGTTTAGCACCATCCAGGGAGCATGTGTGGATTAAGGTCTTCCACGGACGCTAAATCAGCATGATTGGCATACAGTATTTGCAGTACTGGGTGCTTAACATGTTTGCCTCTGCTTGTTGTTGCTAGTCAGCGTATTTTACATCTGATAAGAAATCACTGTTTAACATATATAAATTACACATGGATGGATAGGTTTTTGTAGGCTATATAAACATCTGTTATGTAGAAGATTTGAACCTTCAGTATCGCAGCTAAACACTTAACCACTATGCCTCCAAACCATCAAATAGGTTATATGGATACTGGTTTGGTTAACATAAACATTTTTGGTATGTGGATATGTGTATTGTTGTTATGTGAATCAATTATTATTTCTAAAAGTTTGTTACTTTAAAAAAAACACACAAAACTAATGTAATTATGTACTTGTAGTGAACAACAGTGCTGATGAAGAACCAGATTCTGGGGTGACATACTTTGTAGATGAAGAGGGAAGATATTATTATCAGCCTGCTGGAGACAATCAAAACCTTGTCTCGTTGCCAACTAGTGTCAGTGAAGAAAATGATGAGGTACTACTTACTTACTATCTTGTATATTTTTTATTCCTTTTTATGATGTACTTTTAGGCAAATTAAAGCTTTAAAATATAGCTATTTGTAATCGTATTTAATGCTGAGGACACCGAGATCAACAAATAAAGCTTCTCAATTTTTTTGGGTTTGATTTAATTTATAAATTGTGTAAAAGTGTCAAACCTAATTTAATGAAATATATATATATTATATATAATTACAAATATTCCTTTTATGAACCTATTATGAAGAAAAATGTATTAAATCATTGTTTCCTTAAAATAATTATATAAGACAGGCCATGCAGAAAGTTTTGTGAACAAAGTTTTTTCATAGGAGACAACTTTATTACACATGTAATTTATTTTGAAAATACGATTAATTACAAGTAATAATAAAAATAGCATCAATTTTAAATTTCTCCACAATTTTACAACCTTAATACAAATATTATGTATCAATAGAAAATGAATCTACATTGGGAGTTTTTACGATTTCAAATGTGACTTAAAATGATAGAAAAAAATCTTCAGACTTCAAACAACATTTATGGATAAAGGTCCTTCAAGGACCATGTACCCCTGGTATGACAAATCTCATTGCATTGCCAACTATGAGACATCAATAAAGAGGTAGTCGGTGGTTGACGGTTGTTACGGGAGGAAATAAAACAGTGAAAAATTTCATTTGAAAGAGGATAAGTGAATTTGAAGAGATTCAGCATAATATATTGCAGATTGGATTAGGATGCATTCATAAGATTTTACACTGAACAGACATTTTATATTTAAGGTGGGTGCTGCTAAACCTCACCGATGATGAGAATCAGACACTCATAAAATTGTACTCTGATATGATGGCTTAATTTTTAAGCTAAAGTATCGCTTACAATTTAATTTCTTGGATTTATCAATATGATTCAGAAACGTGGCAATCGATGATTTTGCTGTTTTTAAAATGAACCAATGTCTACTAAAGTGAAGCATTTTAGAAATGCAAAGAAAAATTTTGCAGCACCTGCACCCATTTTGGCATTAAGGCCCGTATTAGTAAATGTTTCTCAGTTCAAGTACACGCACTTGAGTACAATCTTCATGTTCTGATATTTATAAACATATCTCAAGATGAGGCTTAGGTTTACGATATCACCTGAGTGACGCAATGATTAATAAACTAAACTCGCCTCTCAAGTGTGTGTACTTGAGATGCTAAAATCTGAGTGCGGGCAGTCTGGGACTTAAGATCGTGATTGTTGATATGGCGATTAAAAATATTTTAAGAGAATTAATTATTACGACGAAACAGTGGTAGAGCCACGCGGCAGCTTTTGCTGTCGCACGGATGGGCCGGCTCGAAGCGGGGTGGTACCACGACCTCACAGAAAACCAGCGTGAAGTAGAGGTTTACCTCTGTGTTTCGCTTGGTGAGTGCAGGTGGCCGGAGGCCCTTTTTACTGGAAATGAGGCATTTCATCTTAGTCCTCACGGGTGACAATGCATCTACATTTTGATTTGTAATAGAGGATAGATGTAGATGTCTATGGGCTGCAGCAACCACTTACCATCAGGTGGACTGTGTGCTCGTTTGTCACCCTTATCCTATAAAAAAAAAATATTTTACGGTCTTCGCGATATCATTTACCAAAAATTTATATCAGGATGCTTCCGATCCTTTTAAGTTACGATGTGAGCATTTTAAAAACGTTACATTAATAAAAGACTCATTGGTGAAATACAGATAACAGAGGTCTTCCACTTTCCCTAGAAATAGCCATTCTATTAGTTTTAAGTTTTTTTTGCCACATTATCATTTCAATTATGTACATATTGTATATTTATTTAAGTAGGTATAATTTATTTATTAATTTAAATTAATATAATGTATTAAATTTCAAAGTAGGTAATGAGGACATTCTCGATTTATAAGATAAAATAAATGTTATGACTTGGTACATGCTGCTATGGAAATTCAGCTTACTATGTTGATGTTTCAAAAGTGATATTTGTAGTCCTGGCTAGATGTGTATGGACTAGCGTTTGTATTGTATAGTTATTTTGCTCCAGGCCTCATTTTTAATACGTAGAGATGTGCCATCAGACTCATTATTTTCCACAATAGCCCTATATTTTTTTGTTATACCGAGAAAGCATTTTTTCCCAATCTGATTAAATACATGCTTCTTGCTTTCCATTTTTGTATAAATTAAATTTCCCGCGAGATTAGTTACGTATTCAAGATGTTTTTTAGTGTCAAGAGCAATACGTCACTTTTATATTTGCCACTGGCGCTATTGTCGCGTTAATGCGTTAGGTTATTTGTACATATTTAATTAAGTAGTAAACAATTAGTTAGTATTTAGAAATACATACTTAATAGTTTTAACAATTTAAGGTTTGCGAAAGTAGAAAACAACTTTGTAACGTGATACAGTTCTTTATATTAAAATAAAAGTATTCAATAAATCTTACGATATAGCAAAACCGAAATATAATGAATGATATTGTAAACTTCGGTCTATGTGACGTAATCGTTCACGAGATTAAGCCCTCAAGTCACAGAAAAGTATTCCTAAGTACAGACTCTTGAGATTCTGATATTGTAATTAGGGCGTATCAAATGATTACGCACTTGAGTTCGTCGTTGAGTAACATTTATTAATATGGGCCCTAATGTCAAATCCTTTATGAAATACAAGAACTATTGATGCTTCTTGTATTTTATAAAGGATGCCAAATGGTATATACTACCACATGCTTGACACTTTTTACTGGCAAAGAGGCATTCCATCATAGTCCTCACGGGTGACAACGCATCTGCATCTTAAGTCTTTATTGAGGATAGATGTAGATGTCTATGGGTCACAGTAACCACTTACCATCAGGTGGACTGTGTGCTCGTTTGTCACCCTATCCTATAAAAAAAAATTTTGCCGGAAGTGTTCAACTGTTGTGAGCAACAAGCAACCGAACACGGATTCCCGCGGGTTATCGCTTCAGCATTACAATTCACCCGCATACCCAATGCTCAAAAGCCTCAAAGCTCAGAGGGTTCGTAATCTGGACAGCACACTGCTTAAGCTTTTTACAAGTCCTAATTTGGTAAAGTGTGATTTCTTTTATTTCTCAAAATAAAAAACTGCTGAAAGAGATACATTTTTCATCACCCAAAGATGCACTAGCACTGACTGAATAAGCCGTGGAAGAGGTGTCTGAGGTGGACTGAAAAAGTGTTTAGAAATTGGCTAAGACTAAGTGTTACGAAAATTTTATAACAAAAGCTTTAATGATAGAAGTTATATATAGAAGACTGCTAATTATGTTTATGTAACATAATAGTAGTTAATTATATTCTTAACCAGAACTTTTCCTAAATATTTTATTTCATTAACATGTTCTTAGGTAATAGCAGAAGAAGATGAATCACAAATGTTGGTAGATGGAGATGGGTATCAGACAGTAACATTGGTACCCTCTGAAACAAACACAGGCGAAGTGAGCTATGTGCTGGTGGTGCAAGAAGAAACAAAGCCAGTTGTAAACATCAATATTAAGGTAAGAAAGATTATGTAATTTTAGAACATGTGAGTATACATGTGAACAATACTGATAAATAGTACAAAATAATTAATCACTTAATATGCTTGTATTAATCATCTTAATAAAAAGAAATAGTTTGTGAATAAGACTCCCCTTTTCCTCATCAACCTCTCATTACCAGACACATTTTTATTACTGCTTCCCATCTCCTATAAATTTTTTGGATCTTTACCTTAAGACTTTTTACAACTACCATGGATTGACAAGAGGTGAAGAATTCTGGGGTCACCAGTCATGCATGAATAATCTGTTTTAGGTGGGTTGTGTTATTTATTTTCAAAAACTTTTAGTTTAATCTGTCTATTTTCTAGCTTATGCTTAAAAATGAAATAATTCTGTTACCAGTTACAATAAAGGATTTTCATATAAATTACATACTTTATATAATACATTTTTAACTGTATTATTCTTAGGGAAGCAATGCATCTCTATCTATAGTCATCTTTGTTTAGAAGGGGCAGCTGATTTCCATGGTCTGCAGTGTTTATTCATATTTAGGTGGATGGCAAGCTTGCTTGATAATCTATTTAAATTTGTCATCAGTCTGTCAAGATCTCTGCTAGATGAATTTTTGTTTTGTGACACCTACAGCACAGTGTAAATGATGAATATATACCAATACCGAACATAAACATGGCAATTATATACTACTTAAATATGTAAAAAAAAGTCACTTGTGAGGACTAATTATTATTAATACATATTAAGTAAACATGAAGTTATACAAAAATAATCTAACATTCACAACATAAAAAATAGTTATATGCTAAAATGATCCTTAAGAATTTTATGTTTCATACATTTCAATTTGGTAAAAACAATTGCAAGTTGCAGTCGGTACAACAACTAGAATAATAATTACCCCAAACAAAGCGATGATTACTGAATACCAAACAATACTTACTGAGTAACAGAAATGCTGAGTAAAAATTGTGTAACAGCAATTCACGTGACAATAAGCTGAAAAATTTGATTGATTAATATCGGAGTAAGCTTCTGTTCAGCTATTATTTAAGTAATTTGGGCACATTTTTAATTGCTTTAGTTTTAGTCTCAATAATACCAGACTATACAAAAGTAAAATCTAAGTAGTATACTTCAAATGAGGCCTTGGCTTGATAACTTCTTTTATACGTGGTAGCGCCATGCTGCGGCTATATTAGTAGTATAGTTGTAACACGAATGGGTCGGCTCGACTGGGGAAGGACCACGCTCTCACAGAATACCAGCGTAAAATGGCATCACATTGCTGCTGTGTTTCGTATGGTGAGTGTAGAGGACCGGAGACCCATTTTACTGGAAAAGAGGCATTCCATCTTAGTCCTCACGCATCTGCATTTTGATTCTTTATTGAGGATAAATGTAGATGTCTATGGGTCACAGCAACCACTTACCATCAGGCGGACCGTGTGGTCGTTTATCACCCTCACCTATAAAAAAAAACTGAAAAAAGATGATGTTGCTTTTATGTAGTAATGTTAACTTGTGTACTCAAAAATACAATTAATTTCAATATTCAATAAACATTCGAAACAAAAATAAAGTTTATAAAAATATTATTAAATCTGCAAAATATATAATTAATCAATTTAATTATATATTTTTGCACTTGAAAATTGCATTGACAAGTCTCGTTTGTCATACTTGTTAGTTTTGTGGAATAAACTGTATTTTCACTCTCAACAACAGTATTTTTTAACATTTTATATTCCTACAAACATTTTCTGCAAATTCATTCTTTTTTACATTTCCACGATTTTCCTTTTTTTGTCAGACAGACTATTCGCAAGTACCGGCATACAAACAACGCAATATAATTTAATAGCCAAAGGCACTACAATGAGACACTATCAGCTTTTTGCTGTGTTGGCTAGATGTAAATTATATCTTTATTTCCATTTTAATTGTACAAGCTCTTCCTAAAATATACTATTTAAACTTTTTTTTTTAAAAGCGTTACCCCCACTAGGATTTTCTCCTGTATCGCGGAGGCAGTTTACAAACACAAATTGCACAAGGACAAACATCCAGACCCGGAACAATTATTTGTAGGCCGTACAAATACTTGTTCCGTGCGGGATTCAAACCCACGACCCCAAGCGTTGCAACTCATTGCTAAGCCACTACGCCACGGAGCCATCAAAACTGCAGCTGATTAACTGATGAAATCTAGAAGCTGTGACTTAGACATAATCAGTGGTTTTCGGCACTAAACACTATAATAGGAAAGTGTAACTAAATAGTACAGAATTTTGCTGCAGAGGACACTTTTACATTTAGCATTACATTCTACTTTATTCCTACTATTATTTTATTATTATAGAAGTACATATATTGGCAGCATATATGTACTTTTATGCATACAGGTACTTTTATGCAATTTTGAGAGCTCTAATTTTGCTTTAGGGTTTAAAAACATTTGTGTAACAATGCCAAGAATAATTATTACTAAGTCTTTAAGTAAAAAAAATGAAATACAGTCATAAAATCCGACACAGAATTTATCCATTTGCAAAACCAATAAACCAATACTAGAATATATGTATATTTTAACTGCATAATATGAGTAAAATTGGTACTGTTATCATGCTTGTGTTACTTGGGTTCAAATGTTGAAGACTTGTTGCTGTTGGAAATTGGTTTAATTTAGTGTAGTTTGGACATACCAAATAAAAAAAAAAACTAGTTTAAATAGTAAATAATTAATTTACTGGCTACACAGCAAGTCTTTTTTTATAGGATGAAAAACCTAATGAAGATGTGTATACTTTTGAAGAAGAAGAGGAAGAGGGTGTTGCAGAGGGAAGTGATGATGACAATAACGACAAATCCAAGAATAACTCAGGGAACAAGCGTTCAAAGTACTTGCGGCCTCACTTTACATGCAATTTTTGTACTTATACCAGTCATCGGAGGTGAGATATACATTCATGACACATTTTCATTTATAAAATGTTTCCATACAGGAATTGTGGTCATTCCATAATTCTGTTTCAAATTTGCAAAGCCATTGTATATTGTATCTAACAAAAATTCAAACAGCTTTAAAAGTTACCAACTGTGCAGCATATATTATAGTCCTACATAGGCAGAGGCACTGATTTTGAACTACCCATGTCTTTATGTCATCTTTTTCATCAGCCCGTACAAGTCCATTGCTGAACATGAGCCTCTCCAGAAAACCATTGATGTTGATCAATCTTGTGGCTGCTGGATGATGATCATGTCGATGAGAGAGTTTCACTACCATCTATCAAAAGATCCTTCAATAGTTTAAATAGTCTTTCTCAAATAAAAACAACGCATCTAGAAAAATATGAGAGTATTATGTTATATTAATTCAGCTTAATGGGTAAAAAAATTACTTTACTTTATATTTGGTAGTTGTACCGGGTTAGAGGAACCCTAAAACAAAATGCAGTTACTGATATAGTTTGTTGGATCTACAAAATTTTTTACACAGACCTTAAAAAGCGTAAGAAAGAACTCTCCTTTTTGGGGCTTATATAACTACCTAATCTCTCCTGCACAGTAGACAGAAGCAGCAATATTCTAGGTCGGAATCTAATAGATGTAACAGTACTTTAATTTGAAGATGTTAAGTAGCTTTGTATACAGTGTCAGAGTCACAGGAACAATCTCTGAGTGACGAAACCTAAACACTAGCAATAAATGTTTTTGCAAATTAATGCATAGCTGCCGCTCAATCTTGTCTGCATGATAAGTTGTTTTGCAGATATTTGCTTTTGCGCCATATGAAATCCCACTCGGAAGATCGTCCACATAAATGCAGTGTATGTGAGCGCGGCTTCAAAACTATTGCATCCCTGCAGAATCATGTAAACATGCACAATGGTGTCAAGCCACATGTTTGCAAGTATTGCAACAGTCCATTCACAACTTCTGGTAAGTCTCAAACATAAACAAATGTTAATTTTTAAATATGTTATTTTCTAAGTACTATATACATATGCATTTAATAAATATACAATGATTATATTATTATCATTAACAATCAATTGAAGTCAGATGTGAATTCAAATATGTTTGAAAATTTTTATTTTTGTTACAATTACTAAATAATATTATATTTTATAGATATGTAAAATGTTGGTATTATGTTTGTGTAGAAGCTGTGCAAAATGCGCACTTAGTGGTGGAATTGCGGAAAGTAGCCCATAGTTTACGATGGGCTATTTTCCGAAGCTAAAAAGGTTTACTAGTGATCTGAATCTGATTAAAGCCAGTCTTACCAGTTTCGAGCACAGGCGCATAATAGCCAGCTTACATGGTACATGGTCAGTTTACGTGCTAGAGCCAACCTGCAGCTATATTATGGTTGTAGCACGAATGGATCCGCTCGACCGATGTAGAACCACGCTCTCACAGAATGCCAGTGTAAAATAGCAGCTTAATGCCTTTGTGTTATGTATGCGAGTATAGAGAACAGGAAACTTTTTTACTGGAAACGAGACATTCCATCTTAGTTCGCAGGGGTGACTGTGCACCTGCATTCTGATTCTTAATCGATGGTAAATATAGATGTCTATGGACAACTTTCTGAGAGTGTATGCAGTAGTTGAATTATTCCTTTCACCGCTTGAACCAGACGCTCGCCTGGTCTCCACCCCTTTGTTGTCAAGTTACCACACACTCCAACCAAACGATTTGCTTCGTCGTTGGTTGAGCAGACAGCAAAGGAGTGAAATATTATTTGCCAATGTCGGTTTTTTCATGTAATTACAATGCAGTTATCTTCAGAGAATTAGTGAATCAGTGCATTTTTTCATCATAGGTACATCACTTCTTACCGCCGTGTGGGATAATAGTTGATCACTGAGTAATAGTGGTTTAAAAAGTGCAATTATTTAACTTTGCATAATATTGCTATGAATTTTCATACAGTTTCCTTAACACTTGTGTACTTTTTCTTAAATAGGTGAATTAGTGCGGCATATCCGATATAAGCATACGCATGAAAAACCCCATAAATGCACCGAGTGTGACTATGCATCTGTTGAATTGTCAAAATTGCGCCGCCATGTACGATGCCACACAGGGGAGCGTCCATATCAGGTACTGCTTTTGATTATGATAACAGAAACATAGATTGTATGTTCTAATATATGTTGAGTATTTTTATTCTTAAATGTAAACACCTAAAAAATTAAGGGTACATTGGGCAGACTTAATGTCATGTCATTCTCTGCCATTCAACCCTGGACGACAATGAATAATATTCTTACATTAAATTACTAAATATATATATTTCATTTTAATACATTCATTTAATATAAGATAATGAAAAAATTATACAATTTTGGCCATGTACTCAAACACTTCTCAATTTTATAGGATGTTGTTAAGTCTCGTGGTGTTGGTCACTTTGACTTAAAGTGATAGAGACAGCACGAGACTTATCGGTATCTTAAAATTGAGCAGTGTTTGAGTATTTGGGCTTTTGCCCTTCACATGATGTTGACAAAAAATTCTTTAAGTGTCTTTTTGTTTGGCGATTAGCCTGCACCATGTACAAAGAATAAAGTAAATCTAAAAAAAAATATTTTGTGTTGTCTAATCCAGTTTTCTATGCATATCTGAATATTTGGGTACTCATAATAACAAGTATTTTTGTTTAATAGTTTAAAATCATAACAAGTGTGAAGTATAAAGTTTATTATTGATTGACATCACACATTTTTTATTATTACTTTTAAAAACATTAAGTAACTAAATGTTATTTACATAAATAGAAAATTGGATTAGAGCATACTGTGTTTGACATTTTTGTATGAATTCGCAATTTTCTGATAGTTGCTTATAGTAGTTTTAAATTCCTCAGTGCCCACACTGCACTTACGCATCACCGGACACATTCAAACTGAAGCGTCACCTCCGCACGCATACTGGGGAAAAACCATACAAGTGTGATCACTGTAACATGTGCTTCACACAATCCAACTCATTAAAGGCACATAAACTGATCCATAATGGTAAGAAAAGTTACTTTACTTACTTTATTTTGGTTTATGTCTTGGTCCGGGGGTCAACATACTGATTTGAGGAAATTTATGGACCTAAAGTACGGCCGGTAACTATCACAACAATACTTGTACTATAAGCAGATGTTTTAATAACATTCTGTCTTTAAAGCTTGTATTAGGATTACTTATTTGCAATTATTTTTATTTGAAGTATTTCTGACTAATAAAGTAGATTGGCTTATCTATACAAATAAATAAAATTGAAGTGTCTGTAATGTCAAAATATCAGCTTTTTACTTAATGCATGTGTAATATACAATACTAGTAACAAAAAAACAGTTTTTAAAAATTTTGTCTGCCTGTGTGTTCTGGCTAATGTCCGAAACAGCTGGATCGATTTTGACGGGACTTTCACTGGCAATAGCTAATGTCAGAATAAGTAACTTAGGCTGCTTTTATTTTAGAAAAAGAATTAGAGTTCCGAGCAAAATACCAATTATTTAAATTCACGCGGACTAAGTCGCGGGGAACAGCTAGTTATTAAATAACATTAAGAATAAAACTAGTCTATTTAAAACAGACTTCAAGTCTCTTTTGTATAGTTAGCCAGTCTACCTTGTTATTTACTTATATATTTAGATGCTTGTGTTTACACTACGACACTTAACATCAAGTTTACTGTAAGTTTTTTTTTAATAGGATAAGAGTGACAAACGAGCACACAGTCCACCTGATGCTAAGTGGTTACTGCGGCCCATAGACATCTACATCAATCCTCTATTACAAATCAAAATGTAGATGCGTTGTTACCCGTGAGGACTAAGATGGAATGCCTCATTTCCAGTAAAAAGGGCCTCCGGCCACCTGCACTCACCAAGCGAAACGCAGAGGTAAACCTCTACTTCACGCTGGTATTCTGTGAGGTCGTGGTACCACCCCGGTTTGAGCCGGCCCATCCGTGCGACAGCAAAAGCTGCCGCGTGGCTCTACCACTGTTAAGTTCGTTTACCACAAGAAAAGTACCAGTGTAACTGGTATGTGTCAATGGATCTGTAAGCTGTTATGGTAGATTAGCCATGTAGCTTGAAAAACTGACTACTGATGGGGAAAAAAGGTTCTCGTGTGGAGCAACCTAAATCAGTTTTGTATCCTGTGCATTTATTAGGAGCTAAACTTTTTTTTATACTTTATATTTATTAAAAATAAACTTTAGGTTAGAGGAATGATAAATGTAATGTTAAGATCGTTAAATATTTATATAGTTTAAACTTAAAGAGTAATTTACTATTAAAATATTTTTACTGATTTAAAATATAATTTAATGCAATTTGTTTTTCTAGTGGCTGAAAAGCCAGTGTATGCTTGTGAGCTATGCCCAACCAAGTGCGGTCGTAAAACTGATCTTCGTATCCATGTTCAGAAGCTTCATACATCTGATAAACCATTGAAATGCAAGAGATGCGGAAAATCTTTCCCTGATCGCTATTCCTGCAAAATGCATAACAAGGTAACATACATGCTTACTCGTGTCTATATTGGTAAAGACAGTTACACCATTTGTAAAAACCTGGTAAAACTACTGTACTTATTCTTAAAAAGACAATAAATTTTTGATATTTAATCCAAGCGTTATAATTTATATGTGGTAGAGCCACACGGCAGCTATATGATTAATTGACTTGGCATGTTTGAATTTTATATTTTATATTAAGCAATAAAATGATAGTAAATCTATACAAATAAATAAAATTGAAGTGTCTGTTTATAATGACAAAAATACAGGTTTTTACTAAATGCATATGAAAGTATATACGGTACTAAAAACAAAAATACAATTTTTAAAGTTTTGTCTGTCTGTCCGTCTGTCTGTCTGTTTGTTCCGGCTAATCTCCGAATCGGCTGGACCTATTTTTACGGGATTTTCACTGGCAGATAGCTGATGTCACAAGGAATAACTTAGGCTACTTTTATTTTAGAAAAAGAATTAGGATTCTGCGCAAAATAATTAAAACCCCAAAAACACGCGGGCGAAGTCGCGGGGAACAGCTAGTAATAATTATAAAAATGTATACATAATTGGAAAATGTACCCACCAATGCACTTATGGTATAACCATGTTGTAACTATATTATGGTTGTAGCATTAATGCGTAGGCTTGACCGGGGAAGGAGCACATACTCACAGAATACCAGCATAAAATAGCAGCTTAATTTTGCTGTGCTTCGTATGATAAGTGGAAATAACCGAAATTAATTATTCTGTGACAATCTGCAGTTTAAACTCTCTTCCGTCGAAATTTGAATAACATAAATTGTCTAGACTCAAATTTGATTTGATTTTGATTGACATTGTGGATTTTAAGTTAAACTCGAGATTGTTTGTGATGCTGACCTTAGTCCTTAGGAGCGACAACACATCTAAATTTTGATTCTCAATAATCAAAATGAGGTGGATAGTATGCCCGTTTGTCACCCTTATTCTAATAAAAAGAATAGTTTGTTTCAAGTCTATTAAAGAGAAGAGCAACTTTTTATATAATTTCTTTTGACAGACCCATGAAGGCGAGAAGTGTTTCAAATGTGACATCTGCTTGTATGCATCAACTACATTACGACATCTTAAATCGCACATGCTCAAGCACACTGATGAAAAACCATTTGTTTGTGATCAATGTGATCAGACTTTCAGGTAATAAAAACCTCACCTAACACATGCTATATGATCGGTAATACTTATTTGTTAAGGTTTTTGTGTTTCTTATAGCTTAAATTAAAAAAGGAAAGAGTGAAGCGTAAAAGCTTGAAAAAACATTGAAGGTCATGTATTTATTTAGATTAATAAAAGGATAAAATTTAATACAAATAATGATAACCCACCAAAGGCATAAATGTGAAAAAGGGACCAAGTCAGATAGGGTTGGCTTTTGGTTGGCTTAGCCAATGAAAGAGGTGACATCTGAACCGGTGCAAAGTTCTATAGTAATTCCTAAAAATTGCTTTAGGAGTCTACCATATTTTTCAATAGTTTATATAAAATAAAGTTTGTTATATTATTTGATACTGCCCATGAATTATTAATGGGAGAGGCCAATGAAACACAAACAAAAATTTTTTTATTCAATATAGATTATTTTTTATTAAATAATACTTCAATATGTCATTCTTTTATTTCATTTACCGCTGGTTCGGAAAAAACCTCTGTCCTGGGAAGAACAAGCAAGAAACCCAGGGGGACTTAAAAAAAATAACAGCTTAGAATCATATATATTACATAATTAGCAACACAAAACAAATTAGAAATAGCTTGGTAGCGATCGCCTCATTCCACTCAAAACTCAGTAGTTTCTGTTCAGCTGTAGAATTTTGTAACCAGTATTGGTGAATGGATTGATGGATAGAGTAGTTGGGTTGGGATTAATTATGTCCTTAAATATAAAATGTCCAGATTCCTAGTAGGCCACCGTGCATTGAAGCCAAACACAAGTAGTGAATATTGACTACTTCGTTCGATCGCCGCGCCACACGACAAGGAACGTTCCCCGCTTAAACACGTCACGAGTCGGTGGCTTGATTTCGAAAAAAATGACAGTTTGTGCTGTGAAGTCGTGTAAAAATTACACTTCAAAAGAAGAAAAGTGCCTTAACATGTTATTTAATAAGTAAGTATTTATTTACTTTGTATTTCTTTCTCACCGACTTTTAAATATGAAAACGAAAAATAATAATTTGACATTCATGTGACGCCACAACTGTTGAGTGTTGCCAAGGGTATGAAATCTATTTACCCATATGTCTAGCTTTTTAAAATCTCGAAAAAGAAACGAGGTATGATTTAAGAGTTTTTTTTTAAACATGAACGATGATTGTTTTTATGAGTTTTAGTTTGTTTCTACAACCTCACAGCTGAGCACTGAACCGATTTCAATGCGGTTTTTATAGTTTCTAAGTATTTTTTTGAAACATCGCCCGTATTTTAGGAGCATTAATGGTTACTTTGTCGGAAACCTAAACCAGAAATGTCCAATTTTGCTGAGAAACTAATCCTAGAAAAAAATCAGCGATGATATGAAAATCATGTATCGACATCGGATTTTGAGCCGTTACAGCTATCGATTGGGCTGCTCCTGCTTTATAAGTAAACCGAAAAACATTGTGTAGGTTTATGAAATATTTGTAAAATGTGCAAACATATCATAAACTTACACAAGCAAACCACACAGCGGTTGCACATGAAAAATTACACCAATGAAAGCAAATAACATTAAAAGTTTGCAACAGTAATGATGAAAATTATCCTTTAAACTTAAAATATTTAAAAAAAAACACATTTTTGGGGTAATTCTGTGCCACTGGTATTACATGCGTATTGCACACAAACGCAAATGCGATACGTAATATACTCGAGAGCGTGGCGTTCACTCAAACACGTATAAAAATTGGCTTCACGATAAAAGTTGCGTTTTGTATTGAACACGGAATCTGGACATTTTATATAATCTAAGATTATGTCTTTTGTGCAGTATATTAATTGTACAGACACGGTTTAAGGTGTGCCTTATCTATAATCAAGAAAGTAAACATGTGTAACAGTAACAATGTGATAATTATGCATTGCACTATTAATATAATTTTATCGAACCATAACTGGTCACTGCTGGACATTGGCTTCTATTGGTTTCCAATGAAGCTAAGATTTGCCATAATTGCCACTTAGCAGGTGTGTTTACGATCTTAGTACCAAATGTATTGTATTATCACGTTGCTTTTTGTCACCGGCATTGTATGTATTTTACAACAGGCAATAATAAGATGATCATATTTCCACTGAAATTGAGGTTTGAGTTCAGAAGTGGAGTTATGAAGTCGTGTAATTCAAACTTTCAATGCAATGTTTTATAGACAAAAGCAACTGCTACGTCGTCACCAAAATCTGTACCATAACCCGGACTACGTGCCAAAGCCACCGAAAGATAAGACTCATACATGTCACGAGTGCAACCGCACTTTTGCGCACAAAGGCAACCTGATCCGGCATCTTGCTGTTCACGATCCAGAATCTGGTCATCATGAACGTGCTCTCGCACTGAAGATTGGCCGCTTGAAGAAGGTCAAAGATATTAACAATCCACTCAAGGTATGTTTGTTTATAGCAGTGAATAAAAGTAAATAATTTTACACAGTTAAAAAAGGAACACATTTCTTCTATTGTATTTTTGTAAAATAATAAGTCGGGGAAAAAGTTGCTTCGTATTTTGTTTGTATAAGATTGAAGAAGAATTGTGTTTTCATTTGCAATTTTCTATTTAACCGTAATGAAACAGAACCATTGAAAAATTGTTTACTGGTGATGAAAAATGGATCTTCTACGACAAGAAAGTACGAAAAAGATCATGGTGAAAGGGTAGTCCAGCTCCATAGACTGTATCGAAACGTGGATTAACACGCAATAAGGTGCTATTTCTCTCCATATTTAAAGAGTTAAAAAAATACATAGAACTATTAGAAAGTATTTGTTGGTTTATGTAGTCCCTTTTGGGTAAAAGCCTCCTCTAATTTGAATCATTCTTCGTGGTTTTTGGCAATTTGCATCCATTCTTCACCTGCTGCGTTAATAATGTTATCCACTCATCTTTTCCTTTGCCGACCTACACTCCTCTTTCCAAATGGGCTCTACCATTTTGTTGTTTGGTATGTCCATCTTTTGTCCTGATATCTAGCTGTGTCCTGCCCATTTCAATTTTGTATTTGGCTATGCTGAAGTGCATCTGTTAACCGATTCGTTGCGGCACCGATTTTCGACAACTTTTAGCTGTGGCGGCGAACAAATATTTCATTACACGCCTGGCGTGTTGAGTGCCACAGAATGAGGCGCCAGAGAAACGCCTATTGTGCCATCAGCCATGTGTAAAAATAATTTTCTTTTTTATGCTTTTTTCACTTGTTTAGACCTAAGTAAGTTTAGTTGACTTAAACATCAGTTACAAACGGAAGGATACTCGTTTTTAGTGGGTAACTATGTGTTTTTGTACGTGTTTTCTTTGAAATTGAGAGTGACTTTTTTATGCAGAGATTACAAACCTTTCGAACTATGTTTGTTTTATAAAAAATCATTTATATAAGTATGTAGGTACAGCGGCGGATTGACAAGACTATTTATTAGCGAACTTTTTTTATGCATGAACGGCTTCGAACTGTTTCAAGCAAAAATAAATCTTATACCATATCACAAGAGCACATGGTACTTCGTAGGTCTATTTGGCCATATGATAGTAATACGACGGCAGTTCAACCATTTTAAGCAAAATTAAACAATAAGACAAACGCATTGTTTTTTTTTTAACAGGAGACTTGTTTTCCAGAAATTTATTTACAACTTGGGTTTGTAAGCGATCGCAATGAGTGCTATTATTTGTTACTTATTAGACTATTTTTCTACAACATGATTTAAAACCTACAAAGTAAAAAGAGTACCATGTACAAATTAAAAAAATGGTTGTCAACCCCTAAAAATTTTGAAATTTTCAAAATATCAAGAAACGAAGATGTAGGCATGAACTACTTGCAAAATAATGATTATTATTTTGTTGTGGATAAATCTTCCAAAAACTCAATTTGAGCGAGTGATAACGATTTAAAAAAAAGACACGACTCGCGTGTCATACGCCACACACAAAAATAATCGATGGCTCGCCTGCCGTACCATCCGCACTGAACCAGTTAATTTAGTTTTCTTGCTAATCTATATTTCTTGTTTTTTGTATTCTCCTTAGTTTAAGGATGGTTCTCTCCATAGCATGTTGGCAATACTAAATTTTGGTTTTCACTCTTTCAGAATACCACATGTTTGGCTTGCATATGTTAGACTTCGGGGGATACAAGAGTCCATTGTGACCTTTTTCATTCTTAGGCTGTAATTTCATTTAAGAATTTCTTTTTGAGGCCATTATTTTTCCACGCTATGTTTATTCTTCTGTCTATTTCTTTTTCTTTGCAGTTTAATTCGAAAGATATCTGCTTGCCAAAATATACATAATCATAATCTACATATTCATTGGACTGACCTTCTATTTTGACTGGTTTTTTGAAGCTGTTTGCATAAATAAATAAATAAATAATTTTAGTTTTTGATGCATTCATTTCAAGTTCTACTTTTTGGCTTCAGGCTCTAAAGCATGATTTCTAATACAGACACAGGTTCACTGAAGAGAGCTTTGTCATCGGCAAATCGTAGATGTGTTAATCTTTTATTTAGTATCCATATATCTTTGAAAGTTGGGTGTGGCAGAAGAAACACGAGAGTAGAATAAATGCTGTAGAAATGCGGTCATTAAGGAGTATGTTAGTGCTGAAGCTGAATGACAGAGTGAGAAATTGTTTGACAAGAGAAGAGTGTGGTTTGCAAGATGATGTTGTGACCAGGATTAAAAAAGGAATGCTTCGGTGGTTTGGTCATGTAGAAAGAATGAATGAGAAAAGAGTGACAAAGCTAATTTACGTTGCAGAAGTGAACGGTAGAGTCGGGAAGGGACGCCCTAGGTGAAAGTTTATCGACCAAATTGGCGATATATTGAAAATGGCCAAATCAAGAGTACCTTTAACCGACGAGCGTGTATGCGTAGGTATATGGATGTGGATGAAGCGAGAGAGGGGTGTCAGGATCGTGCCAAATGGAAGTCCATAGTCTCTGCCTACCCCTCTGGGTGACAGGCGTGAGTGTTTACGTATGTATATCTTTGTTTTTCCTTTCTAGGTTTTGAAATATGTCTTCAAGGATGGCTATAAATAGTGTGGGTGAAAGAGGGTCACCTTGCCTCACTCCTTGCCCAAGTGTGTCTTTCTAGTTTTGCTTGTACTCTTAGCATATATGTTCTTTAGCAAACTTATGTATTTTTAATTTATTTAGTTTTTTCTCAAAGCCTTCCATATAGATAAGTGTGATATGCTGTCAAACGCCTTAGCATAATCTATAAATGCTATGTATAATGGCATGTTGTATTCTTTTTTTTATTATTTGTTCCATAGCGTATATGTGATCCATTGTTGAGTATCGTGGTCGGAAGGTCGAAAGTCCAACGGAGTCAAACCGCAGCTTCGAGGTGGCCAATTGAAATCAGCATTTCGGCTGATGACAACAGTGCGCAAAAGATTGATTGTTACGTTGGCTGTGTGGCACACGCGCCGTCCTTTAGAAACCAAACGTCGTCTATGTCATCCTCTTCAATTTTGGCAAACAAAAAATCGCTTAGCATGACGCGGTTACGATTGCCATTCACTGTAACTGCGTTTCCTTGCCCATTTTCGAAAAAAAATGGCCCAATAATGCCGCCAGACCAAAATCCGCACCAGACAGTCACTTGTTTGGTGATGCATTGGTTTCTCCACGATGACTTGTGGATTTACTGAGCCCCATATACGACAAATTTGCTTATTGATGTATCCTCCGAGGTGGAAATCAGCTTTATCTGAAAAGATGATTTTTCGATAAAAAAGCTCATCTTCGATCAAGCGGTCTTCGGCCCATTGAGCAAACCGAAAACGCAACGGGTGGTCATGCGGCTTCAGCTCTTGCACTAATTTATCTTTGTACGCATTCATATCGAGATCTTTATGCAAAATTCTTCTCAAAGAAGTGCATGAAATGTTCAATTCTTGAGAATGATGACGAGTTGATGTCGATGGCTGTTCACGCACACACTGAGCAACAGCAGCGATGTTTTCGGTTGAGCACACTGGACGAGTACGTTCACGGGTTGTTTTATCTAATAGCGATCCAGTTTTATGAACTCGCTACACAAATTAATCTAGAAACTGCGTTTTTGGCACATCCTTTGTGTCAAATATTTTTTCCTAAATTTTTAATATTTCCCAACTTTGTTCAAGCTAAAAGCGACCCATTTTATAAATGTCAAACATAAAACTAACTTTCTGTCACATCTGAAATGTCATCAGACCTTCCAACCTCAAAATTCCAATTCCAAACGTTAGAAAAAAAATCTTGAATTTGTATATAAAACACGAAGAAACTTTTTCCCCGACCTATTATGTAACGCGACATATTGGAGGATATATAGCCACCTGTATCTTGATGAACAATTATTTAATTTATAAAAATGTTGGTGTGGGAATTAGGTACTTCTGCATACTATTTTTCAGTAAATTGAACCAATCATCAATTTGATATGTCAGAATGTGTTCTAGTAATAATTAAACTAAGCGAATTCTTAAAATGCTGTGATAAATGCTGAGCTCTCTTTCAACTCGTTTTTCAAATTAATATGAACTTACGTGTATACAATGTATGTTTAATTAAACTTTTTTAAAAATACTAATTAAGATGTAACAAAAATAAGTGCTATATCGTTTAGTGATAATCAGTCCTCCTGATGCTAAGTGGTTACTGTAGCCAGGCCTCTGTCACTCTTGCTACCTGCGTGAAATAATTACCTACAATCGCGAGATGCCTCCGGGATACAACGCAGTCGGGGCTATCGCGTTCTAGGCGATTGAATGTTTTGTTTTTATACGTTGTTTACGTAGTTTTTTGTAAATACTTGTTGAAATAATTTTTCTTTAGTGTTTAGTATTATATTTAATTGTAGGATAAATTAGTTGAGAAAGTTTTAATGTAATTTAAGAATAACAATATGTATATTACTCATCTATTTGATAAATTATAATGGCAAAACGTCGTTCCTACTATAATTGTTGCGGGGATGGGTGCTTAATGAGCAAACAAAAAGATTCAGATATTTCAGATTTTTAAGTTACTGAAGGATAATGACGAAATTTTTATTAGATAGCTGCTTATAGCTAAAAAAGAATTAAGTAATAATTTAACTACAAAAATAATACCCAAGTACTTAATTACAAAACTCTGTTGAAATTTACTTCACTACCCAAGCACCTACTTACATACCTATACTTGTCTTTTCTAATTAAAATATTTTAAGTTATATTAACACAAAAAAACTGAAATTAAAACCTTGTTTAGGAGATTTTAACTAAGTCGAATATGATCACATTTCTGTTAGGAATCGTATTTTGGGTTTAGAGCCAAACATCGCGATTCCCGACGAATGGCGTTGCAGTTGCATGCGTTGGGCATCACAGAACTCACATAGTAGCGGAAATATG